TCTCTCTCTCTCTCTCTCTCTCTCTCTCTCTCTCTCTCTCTCTCTCTCTCTCTCTCTCTCTATATATATATATATATATATATATATATATATATATATATATATATATATATATATATATATATATATATATATATATATATATATAGAGAGAGAGAGAGAGAGAGAGAGAGAGAGAGAGAGAGTTTTTTCTATAAATCGTTTATCTATAATGATGAAGTATTGGAATATCTGCGATTATTTTATTAGTTTGGTAATTCACATTTGGAATATTTCACTCTTAGCTTCCGACTATATTTTTTTAATTGGCTATTTTTTTAATTGGCAGTTTTTATTAAAATTTTATGAAATTAATAATTTAAATTATGTTGATTAAGTACCTGGAAATCCGTCACTGTCGATATCCCCAATGTTAGCAATGGAACTTCCAAATCTGAAAGTATTTTTTGAAAGCGATTACTATTTTAACAACCGATTTCATCAACAGTTATAACAACAACAACAACCCAGAAACAACAACAACCTGAACACTTAATGAAATAACATTAGCACAACAACCACAGACAACAACAACCTGCTGTGGATACAGTTAGTTAGCAGGCAATCATTTTTAGTCACTTTTTGACTTATTATCTTTTTCGGTTTCGTTAGGCTGTTTATACCCTATAATGAATTTTTTTTTCAATTTTAATTTTTAATATTTAATCAAGAATATTTTAAAAATTATTAAAAATATGAATAATTTGAAACATATTGTAGTTGCAGTATGTAAAAAAAATGACGAATTAAATATATTATAAAAAAAATAATTTTCTAAACTTAGGATTGCAACATTTTACAAAGTAAACAAATCCCATTTAACGCTAATAACAAATAATTCGATTTTAAACAAGAGACAGATTTTTATTAAAAAAAATCATTCGACAGATGGCAGATAAAACAGAAATAACAGATAAAAAACACCCCACCTTGTAGGAATTATGGTATACATAAACGGCGCCTCCGTAATACTGTCCGTATTCAAATGGTGCACTCACAACGATATCATTTAACCTGAGAAAAAATGGATTTACCGATATACAAATATTATTTATATAAATAATTATTTTATAATTATTGTAAATTTTTATAATATGATAATCAATTCGATGATAAGAAGAGAGAAAATTGTTAATTATCTAATTTAAGTCATTATGAAGACTCTTAAGATGTTTATTTACCATGCGAAAGATTTGGTAATAAATTATTCCTATTACATTTAATGTTGAACGATTGAACTACAGCCTGATACAGTGTTATCCTAATCCCTTCTTTAATATTAATATTAATCCCTTCATTTCATAACTTCATAAGTTTAAAATTTCCTAAATGGATAATTTAAATTTTAGTTTACTAGAAACGTTCGAAAAAATTAACTACTTCGAGCACACTCTACAAATATCTGTAATAAAGAAATAAAACCAAATAGCGTAGCCTGGTACAACATATTTATATGCCAACTTGAAAAGGATTAAGCGGTTTAATTGTTACACACAATTTATATTGCCACACTGAACAACAATCACGGTAAAAACTGTACACAAATTTTACACAAACACACACAAACAACGTACGCATAAACACAAACACATCTCAAATTATAAAAATTTACGGTTGACAAATATTTATTCTACAATTCTTATAAAACTGGTAATACGTTTTTTTTGAATTTTGATTTTATTGACGTATTGGCATATTTATATTGCATTATATGACGTTGCATTATGTTGCGCTACGATTCTCGCCATTGAGATCAATTGAAAATCCAATTCAATCACTAATGTATCGCAGTCAACCAATCCGCTATTCAGATTCACTCACATCTGGAATGCATCCATCCCAATAGGAAAGTCATTTGGAATGTTTATGGAAGTTCGTTTGTGTCACCGTATGTCTGTGTGTGTTTGTATGTCTGTGTGTGTGCTTGCATGTCTGTCTGTGTGTGTGTGGGTCGTAGTTACGTTACAATATAAAAGCTATTGAACATTTGACCTATCTAATTTTTATAATTGTTGCCTGAATTATTTTCAATTTTTCTATCTTTGAAATTTTTATTCTTCTAGCCATTTTTTGTTTCCGTACAAAGCGTTTATAAATTATGCATTATTTATATCTGAGAGTATCTTCTTTCGATATATCACATATCTTAATAGATACGATATCGTCATTTGTATCGGTGGTATCTTTATGTGATATAGTTTTTATCCTGAAAATATCTGGGTGTGTACCTCCGTATTGTACTTGCGTATCTGGCAAAACTTTTTCCTTGTAGCTACTTTCACCAGCAGTGATATAGATGCGCTAATGTTAGCTAGATGATTTATACGTTGCGTGTTACGTAATACGGCTTATCATGTATTTTATGTTTGATATTTTGTAGAGGAACGAATGATTTATATTTAATTTCCTGTTTTTTCCATATATTTTACATCTCTCTCTTTCTTTATCTCTCTCTCTCTTGCTCTCTCTTTCTCTTTCTTTTTCTCTCTCTTTCTCTTCCTCCCTGCTAATGTTTTCTCAGTAGTGAAGGGTGATGTACATTGTGCACGAATGTAGTACGCTCGCTTTGTGTGTACATTTGTGTGCTTGCATATGCGTGGTGTATCTGTAGGTATGTTTTTGTATGTATGTAATTTTGTAAGTGTGTATGTGTGTGTGTGTGTGTGTGTGTGTGCGTGTGTGTGTGTGTGGTTGTGTGGTTGTACTTTCTAATCCAACGCACATGTTCAGGTTCAGTTTGATAATTACATGCACATGCAGTTGAAAGCCGTGATTTTCTGACGATTTTGTACAATGTGCTGTATGTATGTATGTATATATGTGTGTGTAATAATGTGTATGTGTGTGTGTATGTATGTGTATATGTGTGTGTGTGTATGTATGTATGTGTGTAATGAATAATTTCTTGTTACATTCTACATCACTCTTAGCACCAACGCATAGCAGTATTATGTTATACTTTACATTTATTGATTCTCTTCTACGTTATTCGTAACGCACATCCAATGCACGTGAAAGACGTGTCGATCCATGCTTCACACACAGGTGCAATGTATGTGATTTTACAGGAATCTTTCAGCTTTCGAATCCAGTCAGTGCAACAGCAGAGCCAGGCGTCTTAACCATTACACCATCCAAATTTTTTATTCACATTTAACAAACTAATAAACAGACTATATTGTGAATCAATGTATGTTCAACAAGATGAAATTAAACAGTAAAAGCTATACATTTCAGAAACATTGTATCATTATTCCCAAGAGTATTTTTTTACCAAATATTAATAACAAATAATAATAGACAAATATATATTTGAAATTCTCTAACAGATTTAACTCAGGGTTGTATGGATATATGGATAAATTTAAGCTGCAATTTTCAAAGTTTAGCGAATCCAAAGATTGCTTAGGGCTTACTCATAAGTCTTTGGATAAATTTTGTCAGTAATCCAGAATGTTTTACAAATCCAAGAGCCATGCACATGTACCTACACGTGCTATGTAGAGTAGAGAGTTAATTTATGAAGGTTGATGATTTTGTGTTATCCTAACACTGAAAAGTTCACCTGCTATGTTTATTTATGGATAACTAAGTACATTAGGTCAAGATTGTATGTGTGATTGTGCTTGTGTATGTGAGTATGTTTATGTGTGAGTATGTTTATGTGTATGGGTATGTGTTGTTTGTGTGTGTGTAGATATGTGTTGTTTGTGTGTGTGTGTAGATATGTGTGTAGTGTGTGTGTGAGTGTGTGTGTGTGCGTGTGTGTTGTTAGTATATATTAGTGTGTGTGTGTAAGTGTGAATGCGTTGTTTAAATGTTTGTGTGTGCGTATGTGCGTGTGCGTATGTTACATGTTTGCATGTAGGTAAGGCATGGAAGAATGTGTGTAAATGAACATTTTTTAAAAACTAATTTCTTTGATGTACGGAGTGAAAGATTTTAAAAACTATTTTTTCAATGTCAGATTGTATCTCAGTTCGAGCCTATGCGCTGCAGTGGCTTAGCTGGCGTACCTACTCATCTTGATATGGTTGGTGAATGATGTTTTCATTATTCAACACTAGGCATTAACAAAATCCACAACATTAAACTTGAAAAAAATCGTTTTAAACAGTTTAACAACAACAACAGCGTACCAAAACCCAAAAAAAACTTCACCTTATTTCAAAGGGCAGTTGAAACAACACAACAAACAACACAGTGGAAAACAAAACGAGCACACAACACAAAACAACATGACACAAAACTACACAACACAAAACTATACAACACAAAACTACACAACACAAAACTACACCACACAAAACTACACAACACAAAACTACACCACACAAAACTACACAACACAAAACTACACCACACAAAACTACACAACACAAAACTACACCACACAAAACTACACAACACAAAACTACACCACACAAAACTACACAACACAAAACTACGCAACACACAACAAGCACAACAACAAACAAAACAACAAACAACTTAATCAACAAAAAACCACCCTCTCACCCATCAGAATTTAGATCAATAACGACGACGGCATGCCCAAAGCCAGCCCCAAGTTGCCGACCGGTCAGCAGATTTTGTTTTTTGCCTTTATACGCCCCATCCAAGGAATCCCTCTGAATCAGCATCACCTGACCGTGGTCCATGGAACGCGGAGCGCCCAGGATCAAAGTCTTCGTCCGGTTGTTCATTACCGCTATCTTGCCGGATATACCTGTTTGATTGGTTGGTTGGTTGGTTAGTTGGTTGGTTGGCTGGCTGGCTGGTTGGTTGGTTGGTTGGTTGGTTGGTTGGTTGGTTGGTTTGTTGTTTGTTGTTTGGTTGGTTGTCTGTCTGTCTAACCGTCTATCTCCAATTTGTTTTTTATTTGTTTTTTTTTATTTATTTACTAATTATTTGCCTAATATGTCTAGACCACCACACCAACCAAGGTATGAAAAACTGGGGACCGTGGCCAATTGGCTGCTGTTGCTTATTTCGGGCACATGTTTGTAACTGAAAAGTTGTGGATAGCAATTTTAATTTGTTATTCATTTTAGAAAATAATAAAACATCATTAAAAAAATAAATTTGTTTTACAAAAATGCATAGAAGGAATAACGCCAATATAATTTATTTATATAGAAAACTGTTAAAAACAAACTAAATGGAATAATTTTGCTGAAAAAAATTCGGTGTCTGTGAAGATATTGTATAAAAAATCACACAAAGATAGCATGTGATGGATAGGTAACCTCTTGCATTCAAACGCGGTCAACGCGATAGCACTGCCAGGCATCTTAACCATTACTCCACTGAAAGACTTTAAAATCAAATGAAACTAACAGTGTCTCGCTGACATAAACTTCTATGTCGTTGCTAATGGATTTGAAGAATGACATGCCCTTCCAGTTTATAGACCCTGGTGCCCCAACTAACACCTCATCGTTCTAGGGGTTAAGTTTTTGTTTGGATAGGAGTGACTATTTTTTATAAAATCATAATTTTTTATTTTTAAAAATCTACGAAGTTTGGTTACAATACAATCTTTTTTTATTCATATGATTATTTGTATAATTTTCAAAGTTCAGTTTTATAAAAAGCGCTTAATTTTTTATTTTATGTGAATTTAGTAACTCTACAGTTAGTGTTTTATACAAATCTATAATTTTTTTAGTAGGTTGAATAATTTGGATTTATAAAAGTTTATTTGGTTAAAAATAATTTACGATGAATCTTTTATTTTAAATAATTCCATACTGTTGACTTCGGATTAATTTACAATTGTAATATACGCACAAAATTTAACCACAAATCAAGTGAAATAAAGAAAAGATAATTCGAAAACCACCGAAACCTCAACACCCTAAGTTGAAGTGACCTCAACGATGAAAAAAATCATTTATTCAACCTACCAGAGCGTAGAAAGAAAGCTAAGGGAGTGCGTCTGAAATCAACTAACGAGAAGCACATGTACACATTCTTCGATACGATACGACGCGTATCGATACGAGACTGTATACGATACGAGACTATATGACATACGATACGATACACCCACCTCCGTAATATCAGTACCGAAACCAGCTTGACAGTGGGCAAACATTGAGTAGCCGTCCGAAATGGCACGGTTACGACATGGTTCTATGTACATCTCAGCCCGTAAGTTGTTTGTCATCAGGATGCACCTACCTTCCCCTCTTACCAGGTGGGTCTTGTAATTTCTGTAACGCGGGGCGCAAACCTTTATGGGGAGTAATTAATTGTGTAATTTATTAGTTATTTATTCATTTGTTAAGATGGAAAAATGATGTGTGTGCGCGTGTGCTTGTGTGTATGTGTGTGATTATGTGAGAATTTGATTATGATAGATTGTGAACGTGTACTTTAAATTGAATTAAAACTTATCTACTTGTAATAAATGTAGCAATTTATAAAATGAAATAAATTTACAGACCATTAAATTTATGTTTAAACCAATTTGAGTGTGTATTATATCTAAAAGTAATAAGTTAATCAAAATTTTGGAGCCAAATAAAATTAAGGTTATCAAATTGCTTTCTAGTTATTTCAGTTTCAATTAGAGATATACTCAAATTGTTGGAATTAGTTAAGGTAATCTGAATTTATAATAAAATGTGTGTGTGTGTATGTATGTGTGTATATGTGTGTGTGCTTACGTGTGTGTGTGTGTGCGTGCGTGTGTGCGTGCGCTGCGCATATCGCTCGTTCCTCTGAGTGGTATAATCAAACATAATAAACACAAAACCCCAAACCAGCGGAGGAATTTTTAAAAAAATGGAAGAAGAACAAATAATCACAAACCATGACTCGGCCGGTTTTTTTATTTTGACTGACGACCGTTGCGCCAAACCATTGGTCAGTCACCTCCATCTCATTTTGGTACTCTACATATGATTGGTTAATATTTGATGGATCGAAATTTTATTGGATATTATTTCAGATGGATCAAAATTTGCTCTACATGTGATTGGTTAATATTTGATGGATCAAAGTTTGATTGGACAATATTTCATTGGGATATCTCGTTATTATCATCAATCTTTGTATCTGTTGTTGTTATTGTTAATATTATCAGTAGTAGTAATAGTAATAAGAAAAAAATAGTAAAAATAGTAATAGTAGTAGCAGAGAGAGAAAGAGAGAGAGGGAGAGAGAGAGAAAAAGTGAAAGTGATAAATATTTTCAACAACACCTGAATAACTAGAGTTTAATTAATTAGAAGTTAATTAATTAGAAGTTAATTAATTAGAGGTTAATTAATTAGAAGTTAATTAGTTAATTAGTTAAAACCAGTAAAAATAATAGTAGCAGGGGCTAGGGGCTAGTAGTTAAAATAATTATAGTCAAGAAAAAGAAAGATAATAAACAGAGGAAGATTAATTAATAAATTAGTCTGCCAACTAATTAAATTTTGTCCTCAAAAGAATGAATGAACCATAGATTAAAATTTGTTGCAGTAAAATTAGATCTATATTAAATTTAATCTGATCTTTCGGCCCATTTAACACATCCTTTTGCCCTCTCTGTCTCTCTAGCTCTCTCCTTTTCTTTCCTTTTCTTTCCTTTTAATTCTTCCTCTTTCTCTCTTTTTTTCTCTCTCTATCTCTCTCTTTCTCTCTCTCTCTTTCTCTCTCTCTCTTTCTCTCTCTCTCTATCTCTCTCTCTCTCTCTCTCTCTCTCTCTCTCTTTCTTACTCCTTCTTGTTTTCTCAATATTTTTGTTTCTGTTTCTTTTTCTTTCTCTCTCTCTTTCTAAATATAAATAATCTCTCTCTCTTTCTCTTTCTCTTTCTCTCTCTCTCCCCCTAAATATAAATACATATATCATATTATATAGCACATGTTGTTAGCTGAAGAAGTATCTTGTTTCCAATAGAACATGACGCCCGACATTTCATCAACACAAATCAGGGACACAAATTTGTCTAAACGTAATGATAAACATTAAATCTCATTCTTAATGACACGCAAAGCAGCATGCACGTACACACACAAACATTTATACAAAATGTACACATAGAGTCAATCGCCCATTCAGACACACACACACACACACACACACACACACACACACACACACACACACACACACACACACACACACACACACACATATATATATATATATATATATACACACACACACATACGCAGATTGAAACAGAATAAAATCAATAATAATAAAAATAATAATAACATAAATTTAATAAGTATATACGTGCAAAACATTAAAAATAAATTGCTATATTTCCAAGTGCAAAATATGATCCAATCATATCATACAGAAACGTACAGCAAGCAAATAACATCTTCTCAGAAGCCTGTCAAAATACGGACGTACACTAGAACGTGTGTTTTGAGGTTCTCATACTAACTGCACATAAACAAGCACACACATAAACAAACACACACGCAAACACACACAAACATAAACTCTGGCCATTTCTTTTTTTCTATCTTTGTTACTCTCTCTCTCTCTCTCTCTCTTCTTTCTCTCTCTCTCTCTCTCTCTCTCTCTCTTTCTCTCTCTCCTTTTCTTTTTGTGTGAGCACATGTGTGTGCGCGCGTACATGTTAAATCGAGCGTTTGCGTGTGCGTGTGTGTGTGATTGTTTGCAAAGCCATACCACACAAAATGCGTAATAACGAAGGAAATATTACGCAATGAAAGGCACCATACGAACGAAGATTAACTCGCGTGAATATTTCAATGACCCTACACTATCACGGGCAAACAATCACTATATACATACGAACAAGATAAACACACTTGTACGCACACACATATGCACACACATACATGCGCATACATATATACATAAAGACAAACAGACATACATACACACATACATACACACATTTGTATCAAGCGCCACGCAAACACACACACACACACACACACAGATGCACACAACACACATATATACAATACCAGAAAAACATATCACACCAACACATCAACGACAGTGATGACTTTAACAACAACAACAACACAACAACAACACAACACAACAACAACAACAACACAACAACAACAGCAACAACAACAACACAACAATGATAAACAAAATTCTCATTGAACAACTTCACGGTATTCAGTTCAGTGAGAAGAACCAATAAATAACGATATCTTCGTGCAGACGAAACGAAACGAAACAAAACAAAACAAAACCAAAACCAAACAAAACCAAACAAAACGAAACGAAGCATGCATAGGCATACATTTAGTAAGATAGTGAGACAAAAACAAAGAGAGGAATTAAAAGATAGAATGAAAAAGAGAGTAAGAGAGAGTGAGAGAGAGAGAGAGAGATTGTGTATGTGTTTATGTGTATGTTTGCATACGTGTGCCTATATGTTTGCGTATGTATGCATGCACATGAATCTGTATGTGTTTTTGCATATAGGTATGTGTTTATTTATGAGTGTGCATGAGTATATATATGTGTGTGTGTGTAGTGTGTGTGAGTGTGTGTCTGTGTCTGTATGTCTGTGTGTGTGCCCATAAGACGACGAGCTAAATCAATACTGAAGCCACACCGCGACAACAACAACAACAACCTCAACCGACCGATTTTCAAATCAATAATTGTGCAGTCGGTTTTCTTTGATGTGATCGGACAGCGATACAGAGAGCCGGTTCTTAGCGAGGAATTAGTAGCTGGAACATCTTTCGGAGCCCCGACCAGGAGTCTGTGTTGTTTGGGGTGGGATAATTTATTTAACAAAGTTAAAAATATTTGAGTTTAAGTCTACTTTGTGAATCAATTATTTGTATCTATGTATCATTGTATCACTTGTAACATTGTATCATTTGTAGCATTGTATCATTTTCAACATTGCATCATTTGTAACCAATGTATCATTTGTAACAAATGTATCATTTGTAACATTGTATCATTTGTAACAATGTATCATTTGTAACATTGTATCATTTGTAACATTGTATCATTTGTAACATTGTATCATTAGTATCATAGAATATATCTACTCCTATATCACCATTACAATCGTCATTATAGTCAGTTATCATCATCATCAACGTTTTTATATCATACTGGCATAGGCGCCAATTAGTATCATTTTGTTCTTCCCCCCCCCAATAATTTTGACTAGAAAATTTAAATTTTATTAGTGGTCATTATTACAAATTAAATTTGTGAAAATTTCTAAACTTTTAATCTATCACATCACATTGTTATCATTCGTCATCATGGTGATGATATAGAGTTTATATATTCATAATATAATTTATTATCATCATCTTCGTCGTCGTCATCATCATTTTGTATGTTTGTGTGTTTGTTTGTGTGTTTGTTTGTGTGTTTGTTTGTGTGTTTGTTTGTGTGTTTGTTTGTGTGTTTGTTTGTTCGTTAGTTCGTCTGTTTAAAACAATGAAATAAAAAAAATAAACAAATAAAATAAAATAATGAGTGTATATAAAATAAATAAATAAATAAAAATAAAAATCAATAATTATCATTGCGCCATCTAAGCCGGCAAATGTAAAACAAATACTGAAGAAGAATAACTAATGATTCGGTGTTATAGAAAATTTGTGTATGTGTATGTGTGTCTCTGTGTGTGTGTGTGTGTGTGTGTGTGAGTGTGTGTGTGTGTGTGTGTGTGTGTGTGTGTGTGTGAGTGTGTGTGTGTAGGTTCGGTACCAATGATAAGATTATCGGAATCACTTCAGATTGAATAAATGACGCATATAAATCATACAATGCATTTCAATAATGTGTGTGTGTATATGTGTGTGTATATGTGTGTGTGAGTGTGAGTGTGTGTACGTATTTATAAGCATGAATATGTGTGTGTGTGTGTGTGTGTTTGTGTGTATGTCTTTTGTGTGTCTGTGTGTGTGAGACAA